AGCTGGGAGAATGAAGACTCAGGCTTCACCCCAAATCCCCGCTAATGTTTGAAACATGTCCAAAATGCCTCTGTTGACGCGCCGTCCCCACAAATCCAGTTTGGCTTTAAATGCAGCTACTTTATCTGCCAACTTGAAGACAGTTGTCATTTTCCCCTGAAGTGACAGATTGAGTTCATTGAGCAGGCTGAATATGTCCACAAGTAAGCCAGTTTTGGCGCTCAAGTGACCGAGATGTAACCGAGAGAATACGGTCATTTTTCAAAATAAAAGATCGTTCAGACTCAGATAATAAATAAAACGGAAATAATTAATGATTTCTTGTGCGGCCCGGTACCAATTGATCCACGGACCGGTACCGGTCCGCGGCCCGGGGGTTGGGGACCACTGCTGTAGAACATTGTAGAGCGTAGCTAAGTGCCTATCCCAATTTGCAAACTCTAATCACATTAAAGCAACAGTGGGTTTAGTAGTTTCTAGGTGTCTACACCAGATTTGGGTCAAATAGAGGTTAGAAATACATTTTATCCAATTGAGAGAATTAAGATTCACTGAAATAATTCATTTTATTCTTCTGTTGACACCTGATTTAATATTTTCTGATTTTACCTTGAGGGCTTGTGTATTATTTACGTAAACAAATGCCAAACAAAGCATTAGAAAAAACCTGACTGGTCTTGTTTGACCCAGATCTGGTCTTCACTGAGTGTACAAAATATTCAGACCATCTTCCTCATTGATCATTTGCTCTCCAGCCTACATATCTAATGTCTCTATGATCTCATCAATCTTAACAGTTTTTAACCTGTGTCATATCTTATGTTAAGTCAACTCAATCAGTTCATGCCTGGTCAGATCACCTCATTTTACCCATCCCCAGTTTTAATCACAGTACAGAATACCACTGTGTACACTATGTGTTCATCCCATAATCTAATTCCAGTCTGAACATACAGCTTGTATTTCCGGATTTGAGTGTCTGAGCACAAACACATGCATTTCCAGGTATTTTCAGTTTCAGCAGTTGATATCATGTGATTAGTGCCCGTCTCCCCCTGCAGTATTAATCCTGCAAATAACTGAATGGTTGGTCTGTGAGTCCAACTTGATTTTTGGATCCACAGTGAAACATAATTATTGGACTGAGAAGCAATGCTTCTAGTCTCTGGCACCGATTTTGATGCTGAAAAGATTGTTTGTATTGAATATAGACCTCTTTCAGTTTTAATTATGCTCCTGAGGCTGTGTTGCTGCACGGGAGGAGGGAAATTAGTAAAGCTTCTTATGATTTCATGCTCCTACCAGTTGGGTTGCTCAGTCAAGTGTCATTTAACTGATGGGAATGCTGCTCCTTTTCTTTGATTTGTCACTGATTTACCTGGCCACAAACCAATCATTGCTGGATTCCAAACTATTCACGCTATGTTACGTGCTTCCTCTTTCTCTCACACTGCTGTATTGTTCTCATCCCTTCACTTACTGATTACATGCATCTTGCAACATGTCTTCTCCTCAGATGAGAAAGGTGAAGACCTCGCTAAAGAAATGGAGTGCGAGAGCCAATCAGAGGAGCCGCTGCAGCAGGAGGAGGAGGAAGGGCTAGTTCAGGAGGAGGAGAAGGCAGAGGAGGAAGGGCTAGTTCAGGAGGAGGAGAAGGCAGAGGAGGAGAAGGCAGAGGAGGAATCGGCGCAGAGTCACGGTGCCTCCTGTGAAGGAGAACCTCAGCAGTCTTGGTTGCAGAGTCCAGGAGAGGGCCAGGGACATCTGATCACTCCGGACTGAGGGTGCTGGTCCTGGCCATCATAGAGAAGTGGCACTTTAAAACAATATGGATGGACTAGGACTGTCACCATTAATAGTTTAATGATAGCTTTCTATGTGCAACTAAAGTCTCAAAGGAAAACAATCCATAATCAAGGATCAAAAATATTATATTCATCATATTTGGTAATAAGATCATCAAATGATATTGCCTAAAACGATGCCATCACATCAGGGCTTTAACAGTTTGACTGATGTTCAGATAGCTGCAGTTTTAACCCTGAGGCTGTTTCTCACTAGAGTAGGTGGCTGCTGATGTTGCCCCGTGTGGTGAATGACAAACTGACTTTGTTTAATAATTTACACAGTCAGGTCCTTTTTAAGTAGCTGGCTGCTGTTCGGTTTGTCCGTGACGCGTGTTATGGTTTTAGATGAAACTGCTGATTCATAAATGGACTGTCCTCACATGCAGTAAAACAAATACATGCTGAATTCTAAATTCCTTCACTGACCCTAATTTCAGCCATTTGTTTTCCCACTCCGTCTGCTATCTGTATAATTTGTTAAATATCATAGCTTATTATAATGCACATTTAAGTATAGTACCTAGATGCTGTTTATTGTTTTGTTGGGGAGGGGGAAAAAAAATTATCACCAAGATTATGATGAGAAAACATGGTCCAGCATCATCAGTTGTGTTAACAGTACATGCATACAAGTGTGCCATGAAGTAGAAACACGTGGACCGAGGTCTGGAAACGGGTCTTTATAGAAACACTTTGACTCTTTCTTCCTCACCAAGCTTTTGTTCTGCAGCATAAAATGTAAACCTCTAAAATAAAATCAAGCCATTGATTTTGCAAAGGTCTTTCTCTGCGATAGGACCTTGCAACTTTAGCTTATTGGTTTGAGGAGTGAGGAATGACGAGCAGTGCTAGCTATGTAGCAGCCTCAGTCTCACCTGAAACTCAAAACCTCCAGCAGATGAAAACCAAATATGTTAATGTTGTGTTTTATTTATGCATTAGTGGCCAGAGTAAAATCCCAGGGATAATATGTTAAAGTGGAAAACTGATTACTAGCATGGTCCCAGACTGGAGCTGAAACTACCTATTCCCTCTCTATCTGGATTTTGCCAATTGTACTTTTTCATGGGATTATCATTTGCCACATGAACTTGTTTTATCAGAATTTGCACCGTTTCTCTTTGTGTTTATCTGCCCATATTATGTTTGAACCCACCAGGTATCGCTGGTACTGTCACAACTCTTTAAAAGCATCAGCCTTGTTTAGGTTCTGTAGCCTCCAGGGGCTGAAGATTTGCTGAAATATTTTAAGTATTTTCTTGTTTTTGCTTACATTAATTTTAAGTGTTGTAAATGTAGTAGACACCTGGTGTCATGGTTGTGTGTGCCTTGGTTGCTGCTGGTATATTCATTTGTTTACAGTGTAAGCTGGCCCAGGTTTAGCTTCTGCAGCAACATCAAGTAGCACTGACTACTTACTTTTCTGTTTTGTTTTGTAATTAAGTGGGGCAAGAACAAATGGTGTCTACACAAATGTAAATGTGATGTGTCATTTGTACTGTGCAGGTCTGGTCCTGCAAACACTCCCAGACTAAATGAGTAAAACAGGTTTCATGGGGCACAGACGACGTGTAAAATTTTTCTGAAATGTGTTTACTTTCCACTTTTCACATGTTACTGTGCGTTTCTGATTGGTTGTCAAAGTCCTCAAAACCTTGCAGTGACCCAGAATCATTTGGCAAAGGCTAACTGTAAAGTTTGGCCCACGCTTTTGAATCTGCCACTGCCCTGCAGTCTGTTTTTTGACAGACCCTCGTTGAATGCTGTTCAGACACCACTCTATGAATTGAAAATCACCGGACTCTACACCTTGACCACAGCTTGACGTTTTGATTTTGTCCCATTATTTCTCCGTGCCAGGCAGCTATGTTTCCAAAAGTTGCAAAATGTTGCATCATGGTACCTTCACCAGCTTACAGGTTTGGGGTGAGCTGAAGGCTATCGGTGTTAACAAGCTTTTCATCTCCAATGATATGCGCTGGTGATGAAAATGTGTTAAAATTCCAAATTTTAAGCTGTTAGTTTAATATTTAAAAGCCTAGATTCTCAACAAGTTGTCTCACACACTGACATGTGTAGACCCTGCTGACTTTGTTCTTGCAGTTTTTTTCTTTGCTCGTCTAGATTTAACAGGTATATTTCTACCAATGCTGGTCATCATGTAAGTGTGTGCATGAAACGCTTAATAAAGTTTAACAACAACAACAACTCATACCCACTCGGTGTCATCAAATCCAACCTAAAACCTGTGTGGGCCTTACCCAGACCTAACCAGAAGGTACATAGTGTTGTTTCTAGTTTCTCAGGAACACATGACCTGTACAGTGGACAATCCTGACTCAGTCTATTAGTAATGAGAAAGACAGTCATGTATATTAAAAGTGAGATTCAGCTCTGGGCTTTAACACCACTGTCATATGACAGTGACTTAAAATGGCATAAACAAGTAATGACTTATTTCTCACTATTTCACATCTACAGTACAAAAAAACAAAAGAACAACAAGTGGTCAGTGCAGTATGACTTTACAGAACTTTATCATTAAATTGAAATATGTGGTCTTGTCTCTTGCCCTAATAATTCACAGCTGCAAATAAATCAAGTTGCTTTCAGCTGGTCGCTGTAAACCCCGCAGCACTGACTAAAAGGTTTAAACTTCATGGAATATTTACGCATCCATTACTTGCTAAAAAGTCTTTGTTATGGCACCGTTGTATTTGCTACAACATTATTGAAGCTGCATATCACACACACTATAAAGGAGAAATTGTTTGAGCTAATTGATATGTTTGTGACCGGGCCAATATACAGGCCTATGCAACCCAGACCCTAATAACTTTTAGTAGTTCCCCAAGAATAACACCCCTCCTGTTTTCTATCAGGTCAGATTCATGCAAACTTCACCAGTACTGAGTTGCTACCCCTGGATAAATCTGCAAATACAGAGAGAAGAAGTTTCCCCCCCACTTAATAAATACAGTGTAAAACAGGAATGAAATGGTCAAAGTCAACAGGTGAAAAAGGCACCATTATATAAACACCACAAATCAATGAACAAACCAAATACAAGAGGGCCTTGCCTCCCTGTGCATCAAACCATTCAGGCACTGTTCACACACCATAAAATTGGCTAAACCCTACTTGGGAACAATACAATAAATAGGGAACACATTGCTAGACCTCAATATAAAAACAGAACAAAGCAAGGCAAAACGTTGCATAAGAAAAACAGCAGTGGCTAGTGATGTTCCCTCTGATACCGAGGCTCCGAAATTTGCTGGCACAGTGGTTGTTGTGCAGCCTTGCAAAGGTGACGCTGAAGCACCTTGCTTGTGCACAGACTTTTGT